CAGTGACCGTGCAGATTTGGATCCAATTTGCGAAACCAGAAAACAATCGGATCAGACCTTCTGTTCTCCCAGATCTGGTCAAAGGCAGAACCGAAGCAAGCTGATTGGCAACTAGGAAGCCTCTGGAACCAATATCTTCTGGTTAGACGCAGACGCAGATGCACCAGAAAGCTGAAGCCAAAAAGCAGAAACAGTGGAAATTGCGGATCAGAAGCTGTGCGAAGAAGCAGAGGTCAAATCAGAGGTCTTATGCGAACCAGTTGCTGCGTGCGAAGGAGCTAGAGAAGAAAATATTGCAAACCAGAGGCTGTGCGTGAGGAAGCAGCGCGAACAGCCAAGTGCTGCGGGAGCAGAGAGACCGGGTAGGCCGGAGACGCTCACCGGAATAGGGTGGCAGGCCGCCAGTGAGATTAGAACTCCGTTTGGTTGGGTGGTGAGAATATTCTAGGGTTTTGAAAAAACCCTGAAATTAAAAATTCTAAAATATCCATATTTTTACTTTGATAATGTAACGGCCCTGTAAATTTAAAATGAAATGTATATTAAAATATCAAATGCGGAAGCGAAGTCAAAAATTCGATTAACATCCCTTACACTAAAACCAAAAACGTGCTTACAAAATATAAAAGATCAACTACCTAAAGGAGAAACTTGAAAGTAAAAGCTACGAATATGACTATGGAGTCTTTAGGCGTCCCCTTCATTGTCCTCCTGCGGAACTGGCTCGGGAACAATGTCTTCCTGATCTGAAATGATTAAATAAGGAATGAGCTACACTAGCCCAGTAAAGACATCACGATATCTCACCGTCACGGAGGTAAAGGTGGGTAGAAAACACAAAAAGACCAATGGAGCATAATTTAAAAGAAATTCTTTTATCAATAATAAATCATTCACCATCCACTTACCTCGGTGAAATTTATAAAACAGTGTACGAAAGCAATAACATTATCATCATCATGAAATCATATATAAACTGTATAACATAATATTTATCAAACCTTTTGTAATTCAATCGTTACACAACATATTTTCCTCATTTACCAGTCCACTAGTATCCATGGGGATCCCATAGGGGTCCCGCTACCCGTTAACCCTTAACACTTGAAATCAGATTCGAGGGCCGTCCCCATACCCCGTCCGGGTATGGGTGCCAAAACTATAACCTCATTACCCCGTCCGGGTATGAGGGTGAAACGGCCGTCCCCATACCCCGTCCGGTATGGGCGCCAAACACATAAGATCTTCATACCCCGTC